TTGGTGGATTGAGGTGGCCGCTTGCTCGTTTGCCACCTTATGTTATATAAAAAAAAAGGATAGTCTGGAAGAACACATATACTACTTACTTTTGTTACGGAGTCGGTGGCGAAAGCTAGTATTATATAAACACGTAATATGTAAAAATGTTTTTCATACCCATCTTTACTTTTGTGCAAACAATGTAAACACCGTGTAAAATTTATATATTCAATATCCTATCAGTATAAAATATTACTTAGCATCTGTTCCCATCTCAACTTTAAGTATACATGAACACGTTGAACATCTTATAAAACACGATTCTACTGAAGCTTAGACGGCGTTTCGTAAAACCGTTTAAATTTAAACCACCTTTGTAGCTTGAAAAGCTATCTATATGGAAATAGGATGCGAGGTTTTACACGTTCATGTTTACCTGCTGACACAAATTTATGTATTGCCCCGTACTTGTATACAGTACCTGTAACTTCAAACAACTGAATCATGTAGGCACAAAGTAAGAGGTAACAAACTATTGTATGACAAATTGAACTTATTTTTTTAAAATCAATACTAGTAAAATAGAAACGGAATTCGAACACTGACAGTTAAATAAAATGAAAATACTAAAATATCTGGCTGGAAATATATGCATCGATTTGGACATGCATTGCCTACGTGACGTGTTAAGTGGGGCCGCGCAATTACTGGCCACACAGAAATACCGTTCTCTTTTCCAGAGATAACACGCCAACGGGGAAAATATAAGCAATTGTTTTTGTTTGTATACAATTATCTCTTGTGTTGTTTCTTTTACGTCATGGTCCGTTCGTAAAAGTTTTTTTGTTTATTACCCCGCGAACTCAAAAATAACTTAATTACGCTACTAAAAAGACTTGCAATTTCTGATGGTTTACAAAAAAGTTATGTTTCGTATTAGACAAACTAAAAGAAATTTCTCTGGAAGTTGATACCTGAAATTATCTTTACAAAGCTATCCTTGTAACGTATCGTTAGTAATCCACGTCCTGAGAAAATGCCTTGTTCGATTACAATTTACTGGTCCATTTAAATGCGTTAGTCGAGGGACGCTCAAATAGAACACAGTCATTTATGTTGATAGCTGGGATCATGTCAATGCACGGCCTTACGTCGCATCGGCCTTAATGGTCGCCAATAAACCACCCACAAAGCTTCTGACTTCCGCAACTCACAGTTTTAATACAGCTATTATAAACTAATGTGAATTAATCTCTTTAACACTTAAGCTGGTAACAATTCAAGTAATTAAAAAAATATATTAAACCTGATTTAATTTCATTAAACAGAAACTAAAAAATTCAAATTAGAACTTACACATCTTTGTAAAACTGATACATCGTTTATTACACGGAGGACAAAATTTAGGTTCCCAGCAACTTGGAAACTATCCTTGCGATAGTTTCTCAGTTTGATGAATAGAGGAAGTTTGGGCGTCGAAGTGTCTCGGCACATCGCTTGATGGCCTTCTAATGACATGTTTTGAGCCAAGAATCTTCTACTATATTATTTTAGAGCATGCGTCGCTACCTTGGGAATTCACTATTTTTTTTTTGTTATGATTCTCAACCATTAAAATAAAAGTTGATTAACCTAAAAGTTGAAAGAAGCATTTAGATTTTAAAAATTCAATACAATTTCCAACCTCTGCGATTGAACGATTGGCTGCAGAGTATTGTGATAGTACTGATTAACTTTTATAGACTCGAAGTACAGCTCAGAAAAGTTATTTCTCTAAAATTGGCAACATTATATTTTATTAAATGATGGCTTTTATTTCGTGAGCTATTTGATCCTGACACTTGGCTCAATTATTTTGTGGAAAATGTGACACGAATAATTCAATTTAATGTACTAGTATGTTTTAATGAAAGTTAAAGTTTACTTTTAATTTTGACGAGTTCTTTGTATACATAGGTCAATTTAAACTACAAAGATTTAACATGTCGATGTTAATAAATGTACGAATCCCTTAACTTGTCGAAGCTACGGGAATCGTAATGGCTACTTTCCATTATCATTTCCTTAACTTATTTTATATTTCGTTGTACAAAAATCAACATATAAAGCTTTTCTTATCTTTATCAAAATGTAACGTTGACAAAACAACGTTCTATACAAAAGAAACGATTTAGTTACTAAGTTTTAAAAGAAACAAGTTGCGCGGACGTACAAAGTTTATACAAGAGAAGTTACAGGCCATTCTTCCTGCGCACCTCGGCTCAGGAAGTTTGCACGCGGAACACTCTGTCTTAATCAGCTACTCTTCAAACTTGTCGGAAATTCTTTCAACCTCGCAAACTAAAACGGTACAAGTTGAAACATTCTTTTAAAGTTTTCACATTTTATTTTTTTTGATCTGTGCCTTTATGTTGAACATCGAAACATTTAAACGACTTATTTCTTTTTTGCTTAATAACTTTGTTAGCTTTTAGTAGCTACTTATAAGTATGCTTGATGTTTAAACGTTTCACCTTTCCGTAGTCCGAGTTTATTTGTTCCATGTTATTTTATAGTGATGAATATGTTCCACATTTCCACAACCGATTTCGGTGACAATTTTCAGTTCATTTCATTGTTTATTCCGTTGATTCGTATCACAGCTCAGGCTGGATTCGTTGCTCATAAATCTTACGTCCGACTGCAGCGTATATGTCTCGATCCCTACACGAGAAATATATTGGGGCATAACGCGAAATCGAATTTCCAGTTCGCAAATATTTCCATTTTATAAAGCGCATGGCTAGTTCGGCCTTAAATATTTTTATACTTTTAATTTTCACTGTGTCTGATTTACGTAGCAAGTGAAGCACTGACTATGGTACATTATGTAAACACGCTAATGATGTACACTCGCCTAAGAATGAAATAAAACTCCTTTTGAAAGTTAAAACGATGATGGGATGCGGTTCAGTCAATAGGAATTCAAGCTTAAGGTATTTGTGACTTTGACCGTAGTATAGGCTTTGTGCCGGGTACATTTTAAATTATTTTTATTTTGAAGGGAACAAGTGGTGCTTACGACAAGAGGCTCGCGCCGCTAAGCCCCGTAGTAAGGAGCCTCGCCTACTCTTGTCCCCGTTTTCAATAGATATGAATGTATTAATTATACGTAAAGTTATTTTCAAGATCAGATCGCGTAAGACTACGCTCTTCTAAGTTATGATGTTCTATTATGAGATATTTCTAAAAAGGAAAAAATGTAGGAAAACAATGTAAGGGAACAAGTTAATGCAATATAAAAGCTCCCTGTTGGCATTTATTCAAGGCAGCACAACCCTTATTTTACCCCTTCCTGACTGTGCACACTTTAAGGTGTTGCGGACCTTTCATACTTCACCCGTTTGGAATCCCCATACACCCTCTACGAGGGTCAAGATAGTAAAGAACCTTAAAGTGCCATCTGTATGGGGCAGAGAGGGTTTTTATCTATCTGGCCGTTGCGTTGACCAAACTTTACGTCAGTAGAGTAGCAAAATATAATCTTAATTCAACATTTTTTATCAAAATTTAGTTTTTAAAATAGAGCAATTGATTTTCATATAATTCAGTATCTACTTAAATATCTAAAAGAATAGAAAATCCATATTCCTGTAGTAGAATAAAAAAGGTTAAGACAAATAATGTTGTATTTTTCAATCATATCATTGTATTATAGGTACCAAAATGAATAACATTTACGATTTTTTGAACGTGATGCAATCGAGTGGGCGTTAACTCTGAAGTGTCATTGAAATTGAAATAAAAATTTTAAGTTTTCATTCCCAAGTGTATATTACTATGCAAATGTCAATACGTTCTTTTAGTAATATTTTTACGTTCAAATACGAGTACACTACACTGTATGTAACCAAGATTATTTTCTGGTTGTATCGCTTCTTTTAACATGTTTTACATGAGACAGGTAATTCGAAGTGAACTTTAAATTATACGGATGAATTGCGGCTCATGATAAGAAAAAGGAAATCCAATCGTGTTGCTACGCCGAACAACATTTACTTACTCTGAATTTAGAAAAGATTACTTTCTATTCTATAACAAAACAAAAAAATCTGAATGTACGTTCTAATAAAACAATACACATCGAAATTTTCATTTCTCTAAAACATACAAAGAGGAAAAAAATAGAAATAACGAGAGTGGAGTGACTTGTGTCAACATTGAATAGCCAAGTTAGACGGCGACCTTATGTAAACTTTACCTACGATTGTTCTGTTGCTGTTACGCCCTTTGTTTCTTATTTGCTTGTTTTTTCATCAACGTTCAACCGTGCTCCGCTAGAAAATGTGTTTACTGTATATATTACAGAACAAATACTGATTGTAAGAAAATACCTATCCTACTTTATTCTAAGTTATATCATTCTGTAACAAAGTGCAATAAAAATTAAATTTTACGTTATACGACTAAGATCATGTATAAATGCCAAGTGCCCGCTGACTGGAAATCTTTGGGTTTTTAGTCATGTAACACAAAAATGGGGTCATTCAAACTTTGAGATATCCGTTTAAAATTATTTTGTACAGTGAAAACTGACAAAATCGTAAATCTGTAAACTATATGAACATGTTCGCTATATTGGAAAATGCAACCAAATAAGATTTTATGTGAACGATAAAGATAAAAATTTATAGTCCGGCTGCCGAACGGATATTACACGTATATATTCGAGAATAGATTTTTTTAACATTTTTCGATCTTAATTCGATCAGGTCAACTTTTTAGAAGTACGGATATAGATGAATGAAAAAAGTTAGACTAAGAATAAATAGGTTAGAAGTCAAGCGGTCTGTGTGTGTGTAAACAGAAAAAAAAGGGGAAAACTAACGCTGTGTAAAATTCTACTGAGCCAAGTTTGTTTAAAAAACAAACGATTTTGTACAATATTTATTTAAATCAAAATGCATTGTCTACGCCTACCATAAATTTTGCTTATAATGTGTTTAAAAATAAAGGCTCTTGCTTATGTGTCCTTTTAGGGCGTGCTATCGAGCGGGTGTGCAGCACCGGAGGCGCGGGTGGCGGGATTGCAGAGGGCGCGGGGATGGTGTGCGCGGCGCGAGCGCTGCTGGCCGCTGTCACGCGCGTGCTGCTCCTCGCAGATATGGTGGTCGTGCGACAGCTCCTACTGGCCAAAGACAAGGTACTATAATACTTTGCGATCTAATATCACAATGTAGTACATTCAATTACACTTCCTACCAAGAAATTATGTTTGAAATAGCCTGAACAATTCAAGTTCCATCTTCTCAAATGTATGTCAAAACTTTGTTCGTAAACTTTCTCGGGTTGGCTTTACGACATAACTTCTACTGCGGCGCTTTATCTAGTGGCATTCGGTTGATTGCGCATCATGTTTAATGTGCCCAGGATAAACAGCGTGGAAGAGTTTTGTAAACACATAGGCCAGCTATAAAACATTTATCACCAGTCGGAAACATTCGGCTAAATACATTGGCCACCGCCTGCTCTACATATTACAAAAGTAGCTTGAATTGGGTCATTGGGTTATTTTCCGATTTTAAAAACTATTATTAAAGCTGAATAGATTAACCGTACTTTTGAATATAGTCCCAGACGCTTTGATTAATTATACAACAAGAATTATTTTTCATCATATTCGGACTAATGAAGCATAGAGTGTAAAGTCTCAACCATAGAGCATATGTAAGTAGAAGAAATAAGCAAATGGTATCTGAGAGACGGAAAAAGGAGTCGGGGACGGCAGCAAATAAAATGGGAGGACGACTTAAGGTTGACTGCCGGTCCACATTGGAGAAGAGTTACACGAGACAGAAAACAGTGGAAAAGTTTGGAGGATGCCAAGAGGGACGCTGAAATTAGGGACATACTATAACTCACCTATTTATGACACTATATCTAATTTCAGAATAGAAGGTTACATTATTATTATAGAAGAAATATGCTCACTATCTAACTTTAATTCTTAGTAAACTTACATTTAGTATCATTTAAAGGTGGCGCGTTCCCTGGACCGTTTGGAGTCTGTGTCTAACTTTGCGGAGTTCGTTCGCGCGTTCACTGAGTTCGGTGGCGGGATGGTGGAGTTAGCGCGGTTGACAGCGGAGCGGCGCGCGGACCTGCGCGACGAGAGACGACGAGCGCAAGTCGCCGCCGCCAGGAATGTTCTAGAACGATCCACGCTCATGCTACTCACATCCTCTAAGGTAAACTCATCTTCCTATAATCTTAAAGCCTACTTAATATTCTTTCAATCTAGCGACTGTATTTAGCGTTGGATTACAACTATTAAAATGTGAGTACATTTTGATTATACCACTTCAGTGTCATCACCAGCTCACTATCCGTCCCCACCGAGGGGTTTGGAGCCTACCCCAAGTTGTAATTCAAAGAAAAAGCAAGAAGGATCAAAGCAAAATCTAATCACAGCATGAATGCTACACAGAAAAAAGTGAAACGAAGCGCTTGTAGCCACTAAAGCAGAATTGTTTTTTTGCGGTCGCACCGACCCGAGTCGAGGAATAATCACGGCTAACCAATATGTCAGCACTCTGCATTAACTGACCTCATAGTTGTTTTTTTTTTCTTTATTATTTTACTTAACAGCAATATTTAACGTTATAAGTTATATAAATAGGAATAAAACCGGTCACCTATTGTATGTATTACTTAATCGAATAAATCTACGTACTCCATAAAAATATTATAAAGAGGAAAGATTTGTATTTTTAAATTTTTGTATGTATTGAAATAACTCAAACACTATCGAATCGAATCCAAAAGTTCCTGCACCAATAACAAGCTATGTTATCAATAACATATTTTTACTATTTTTTAATTTCACATGAGCGAAGTCTCGACCTACTACTAATACTTTATAAAACTCAACATATTAATTTAGTTAATAATGTAATTAGTACGGATTTCAAACTGAGTACACAAATGTATTCTCAATATCAGCAAACGATATTCAAACTCGCGTAGTAAGCCGCAACGTTAAATACATTAACCGGCTCATGATAAGGTTTTGCACAATTACTCACTCCGTATGCGCAAGCTAAAAACAAGATTAAAGACTTCGCTTAGCGCGGCTTAGTAAAGCGACTATCTACTTAAATAATAACTTAAGATTGTATAATTCACCTAAAGCCTGAAAAATACGGACATTTTTTTTTGGATCATTTACTCCGACGAGTGTAACTAAGCCCCCATACTTTACCGTAATTGTGGCTTTCAGGCTTTCTAATTCGTTCGTAAACTTTTACGATTTCTTCAAGTTCATTGAATTCTAAAAATCATGACATTTTTTTTATACCTCCAAACGAAAATTCTAGGAAAAGCAAATAACAATTATTAAATTGGGACTGTAGTAATTACTTATTTTATAGCCTTTTATCGGAATACTTTTTTATAGTTTAAAATCTTTTTCTATAGCTCTACAGCCCTTTGTGGGCCTTGACTTGGTCCAGTAATTTCCTCCATTTCCGCCTATCTCTGGCGACGGTCCTTCAGTTTGCTATGCCAACGGTTTTCGCATCTCGACTTATGCCGTCTATCCACCGGAGCTTTGGCCTCCCTCGACTTCGACGGCCCTCGGGATTACTTGTCTGTTCAATTTAATGTGTCCCGCCACGTGCAGTTCTTGGTACAAGTCATAGAGTTCCTGATTGTTGCGGTTTCGCCATTGGTTTTCTTCACTATAGTTTAAAATATTAATTTAAAAAACAGTAGGTTTAAATTAAGTTTTGTACTATACATAAAATAACAAAGTGTCTTTAATTAATATTGAGTATAGTAAGGCAGTTTTGTCCTTTGTTTCAGACGTGTATGAGGCACCCAGGCAGTGCCTCGGCGAGGGAGAACCGTGACACTGTGTTCTGTCAGATGCGACGAGCCATGGACCTCATACACTACGTAGTGCGCGACGGTCTGCCCGGACACGAGGAGCAATCGCACGAGGTTTGATCTCACATTTATATTTACACAATATCATAAACATCCAATCTATCCAACGAATGGAGTTACATCTGTAGAGATATTAAATAGGTGCACATTTGACGAGTAAACAACATTTTACTTGTTGTATTCTTAAATTGTCGTCAATTAAAGATAAAATATTGATTTTATTGGGCATATGAATATCAGAATTCCTCATAATCAAACACTTAAAACGTTTGTTTCTGGATTTGGTGTAACTTATTAAAAAGAAAAAATCAAAAGCATTATTTGAAGCAATTATCTTAAGGTCCAACGTGTTTTAAATTTCATTACTTTGAATGATTATTGATTTTGCCAATTCATCTCTATTGAAAAGTCATTTGCACATTTTAACATTGAGTCCATAAACTCTTGACTTATTTTTTGTGTATTCAGTTTAAATCAACTTTTGAATATAGGTACAAAAAATTGTGCATTAAAATTTAAATATACAGTAACATTCTTGATAAGCACGAAATGCACATGACGTCACAAAAGCGTATCGGTTTCGTGAACTGAGCACTTATCCGATAGTTTCTTGCGTTAGTCTGGCCGACGTCCAACAAGGCTACCTTCGCTTCTAGTTTATATTTGTCTGTTTTCTAGACCACTTAAAGCCTACTGACATTTTCCAGGCTTGATACTAATAGTAGTTTCACACGAAGGCAGTACAATGAGGTAGAGCAATACACAATGCGGTACTGCAATTGTAGTAAATAACGTACAAGATTTTTACATACTAAATAATACTGTGAACGCACACCTCCTGTCCAAACAGTGTTTTGTATCTGGACGTTGTGTGTTAAAATAATAGCTGTACTGACTGTTCTACTACTCTGCCTCACTATTCGGCCCTTGTGTAATAAAATAAAGGCGTATTGCAGTGAACTCGCCGCTGACATTCGCCATTTAAGCCCCCGTCGTTCATGTAATTCCAGGCTATTATGCTCGAGACAACGCAAATGGATCGTACCTACGCTCCGACTGACAATGCCAATAACAACATCATACCAGTTAAGCACGTCGAAACTACATCGTGTAGTTAATGACTTCTAATTTGCATATTTATATGATATTACGAATCATAGATCAATACATTGTTCCGCACATGATTAGAAAAACATCATCATTCTATAATGCTATAGTTTTTTTTTAAATACACGCACATTAACATTATTACATCTTTGTACCGCACGATCATTAAGAAGGAAAGCAGGGCAGAGCAGTGCAGGCATGAGATAACAAAATGGAAGTTTCATTATACCTGTTCCTCGAAATTCGTTAAAGAAATACTGAATTTACTGGAACTGTCGTAAATAACAGAGACTTCATAAATTGTAATCTGTTACCATTTTACCTTCCTCCGTCGCACTTAAACGAATGCTGCTCCAATTCGGGCGTTATGATGTCGTAACTGTTACGTTGCGTTCATTTCGTAAGGTTTATGTAGAATTTATTAAAATATATTTATATGTCAACGTTGTAAATTGTTCAGGTAAATTTTAAGAATTCACACAATTGCATATCGATTTAATTTACAAAGTGACTTATTCAGCAATAGTTACTTCTTAATCCTCTACCATCGTATATCATTAAATTAAAAAAAACTCATTAAAGTAAGAAAGAGGTTAAACTTACTCTTAGGAAATGTCAATAATTGAACACTAGCAACCTGTAATTCGATCAATCGATTAGTTTAATTTGTCAACGTATATTAGATTACGTATATCCAGGACGGGGCATCAATCAGCGCTGTACAACGTGCCGCTAATGGAATTGTAAAACGCGGGCTTGCATACTGTTGTTACAGACGAGACATTGATAATTCACTAAAGCAACTCCGTTACGTAATATTTTAACGTCTGGGACCAGATGTAATGTAACTTTTATAGCGAAATAAAAAATGATCTTATCCCAACGCAGATTTCGTAGAACTACATTATTACATTTTTTTTTTCATTTTATTGATTTCAAATAAAATAACAAAATTGCGTTTTTAAAATTAAACATTTTTGAAGTGGAAAAACTACAAAATACGATTATTTTTTGTGAGCAATCGAAATAATAGTAAAGTTTTTTACACGTTTCCAAAAATGAATATCCAATTTACAGGTAGCTTTAATATCTTTTATCCAATGATACTTACTAAGTAATATGAACAAGCTATAAAGTTTCGCTCCAACAGAACTCATTCAAAGTTATCTATTATAACAGCGAAAGTAGCTTTAAGCTCCATATAGTTAAAAGCTTAGTTTAATACAACACATAAAGCTCAATCTGGATGATACAAACACGATGTCTAATGGCTTAAAACTTTTTTTCGTAAGTAATTTATTTTTTTATCTATTATAACTTGATTTTCCAATCCGTATTCCGAAAAACAATCTACCCATAGAAAAAAAGTGTTTTCAAGTAAATATAGCTGCTGACGCTACTTCGTCTGCGATAAAAAAAAATATAAAAAAAACGTAGCTTCATTACTGTAAGACCGTGTTAAGCATTTATCGAATATAAAAACTAAATAAATCCACGTTTAAATATTTTACGATCCAAAAAGTGAAGCCATAAAGTGTTATTCGGTATCAAAAGTTTGGAATTTCAGGTAACTAGACGTGTGTAAGTATTAGTGAGGAATTTAGGAAAGTTAAGTAAGTAAACTAGGAGCATCTAGTTCCCCTGCCTGCTTTAACTTTTTGTTAATTTATTTTCGTACCCACCACCCTGTTGTCTGTTTTCATTTCTGTATTTCCAAACATAAACTCGGAATTTTTTATTTCTCTTGTAGTTGCAACCTTTCTCGGATAGTCATGAGCAGGTACAAAACTTATGGTTGTATTACTTAACGTCTAGACGAGTGCCTTTTTATAAATCAGTATCGCCGTATGTACAACAGCTATATACGATTTTTTTTATGTGCTTTCTTTTTCCTTAATACTTTTTTTTTAGAAATTTACAACACATTTTACTTCCTCATATTGCACATTTTAGTATTATCTTCCTGCTTTTATAAAACTTACCAAAATTGTTAATACAATTTACATCTTGAACTATGTATAAGAAAGTAAAATGTCTTATTTTGCACCTTAAAAATGGTTAACGTTATTTTACTGTGTTTCTTTAAACAACAAAGCATCTCCGGGATAGGTACGTCCTTTTTCAAGTTCCACACTTTGCTATCCGACACGCGCAGATCTGCTTAGGTCTAAATAGGTTCGTTCTGTAGGCAGTAACGCTTCACGCCTTAAAACATAAAAGTATTATTGTAAAGTGACAACGCGAGCGACACGATAACACGATTTGATACAGTATGTATGAGAGTTCGCTAAGCTTCTTTGGCAGCTTAAGCAGTTCACGCTAGAATATTTCGTAGGAAAATTTTACCTCACACTACACATTGAATCAGACTTTTAGAGTACTATAGCTTTTTTAATATCAGTTAAAACGTAGGCAAGAATAAGCAGGTTGTTCTTAGACTATTCTTAATATAAAACAATGAGAAATAGAAAATATTGGAAATGTTTGCATTCTAAGTAGCGACATTCATGTGATATGAACTCAAACCATTTTCACAGTTCGCATGCAAATTTTTCAAATATTGATTTTGGTTATTACATTCTCTTAGATGTAGGCTGAATTCTACTTGGATGTAGAAATTTGAGCGTGTTCGTTGGGCCCAGGCGGCGCAGTGGGAGGCGGGCACCGCGTTGGGCGCACTGCGTGGGCTCACAGCGCAGGTGCGGGCGGCGCGGGCGCGTGGCGGGGCTGATGCAGCGAGGAGGCGAGCCCTTGCCAGCACCCTCCGAGCCCTGGTCGAGAGGACACACGACTTCACTGACTCCGCATACACCTCGCACGACCACAGACAAAGAATATTAGCACTCGCCGAGAGGATAGCCTACGAATTAGAAAGGCTAGTCGCCGTTGCTGTTTCTATGGTAAATGCAACACAAACACTTTCTATCGCTGAAAGCAAACAGTTTTCTCTAAAGACTTTGGTCACCTGCTTATACCAAGTGCCACAACACTTCGATTGCTCTTGCGCCTGCGAACTATTAACTATTCTGTCCCTAAGGATTTCCATAATTTCACTTGTCTTGTAATATTTTCTCGTCATCTTCAATTATCGCCATTGAGTGTAAGCAAGGTAACACCTTATACTATATGGTGATCATTCCTTTTATTATGCAGGAGGAGCAGAGCGGTGGCAGCAGTTGCGGAGGTGGGGCGGCGCTCGAGAGCGCGTGCGCAGGCGCGGCGGGGGCGGCGGGTGAGCTGGAGCGCGCGCTAGTGGCAGCGGCGCGGGAGCAGGCGCGAGACCTGCCGCCTCTGGCCGAGGACGCGCGCCGCCTGGCCGCCGACCTCGCCTACATAGGTAACCCCCCGCGCTCCATAGGTACTGTCCCTTTCCCTTAAGGCGAACGCTTACGTGCTTCCCGCGATAATAGCTTTTGATTAGCCTTTGTTATGCTTTGAATATTCAATGATTTTCGCAAGGACTTTGCAAAGACTGTAGTGGATGCTATGTGTAGTGATATAAACCAATTACTTTTAAAAGTAAACTCTAAGTGTGCACTAATTATATAATAAGTAAATTAGTTAATACACTTAGTTATACATATGTCTGGTGTTCCTTGAGCTTTTTGGTTTCGTAAATTTTAAGTTTAAAGAAGACGCTTTCCTGGTCACGTCATTTCTAGTTTGAAAAATATAATTTATAGATAACAGTAACATTGACATACAGATAAAAAGCACTTAAATAACGATTTATTTAAACGACCATTTTAGATCGTGGGTAGCTTATAATCCACCGCAGCGCGTAGCGGTCTGTCTCGGAACTAAATCGGAGACTGAGCCAGTAATGGTCTAATTTATATGCTCACCATAAATGATTATGATTGAAAATTTAGTTTAATTCTATGCATGTGGTTTGTGCTGCCGGTTGTTCGTAATGTTTTAGTCCAAACTTTAACCCTTCGCTTTGCTTATCGCTAACAATAATGGTTTGCTTTTAATTTACTTGAACTGGGTTTAGTTACAATTAAAGGAATAATTTATAACAAAGCAACTTTCATCGTCGCTTAGCACGTAAGTGTTCGTCTGTACTTAATTGATTAACATTATTTATTCGGTAATGTTAGGGTAAAAAATGAGATTTGTTGCAGCGAGCAGCGGCAGCGAGAGAGAATCGGAGAGACTGCACAATATAGCCAGCCGGCTGCACGAACAATTAGATCATATTATAGAGGTACTTAAGAGCCCTTCAATTAATTTACGGCTATGTATTATTGAACTGTAGTTTTTAATTTAATAATAGATCTAGATGAAGCTAATTAAAGCGGGGAATATCAAAAACAATTCCAATAAAATACAATCAATACTCATTCCAGGTATGCAAACTTCTCCGGCATATAGCAATGTCGGAAACTTTACAAGTGAGTGCAAAGTTCGCTGAAATCAACCTTAGGATATACGGTCCGCAAGTGGTGACGGCGGCGCGGACGCTCGCAGCGCACCCCGGCAGCGCGGCCGCGAGGGAAAACCTCGACGTGTTTGTAGACATGTGGGCGTGGCTGCTGAGCGACGCTGCACGACTAGCTAAGGAACTCCTCGACCTCACAGATGACAGACCAGACAAACAGCAATACAGCAGTTTACCAAGGCCTGGGGTGAGATTTTGTGTTCGAAAACGACCTATTTATAAAATGCAGCGTAAGTCTTAACTTTATTTGTATAATTTCAGAAACATGGGACGACAAGTAAACCTCTGAAAGCTGTGCGGTTAGATTCAGATGAACAAGCTAAAATCGCCAAGTCGGGTCTGGAGATGAAAATGATGTCCTCTGAGATGGACGCAGAGACTGAAAAATGGCAGGGAGCTGACGAGAATAATGATATTGTGAAGAGGTAAATCAAAATTATTTCCACGATGAAAGCAAAAAGCGTTTTATCTAAAATAATTTCGCATATTTTACTTAGTATCTAGATGTTTGTTATAATTTCAGGGCGAAAAATATGTCTTCCATGGCCTTCGCTATGTACCAATTCACAAAAGGTGAAGGCCGACTAAATACGACGCAAGACCTCTTCACGCAAGCTGAGTATTTTGCAGAAGAAGCGAATAGATTGTACAAAATAGTTCGACAATTCTCATACCAGGTAAGTGGCATCAAATTCTTTATATATTGATTGTGGAAATCGTTATAATTCAACCGCGCCAAATGTAAAGCAAAGTGACCAGTGGCTCAAACTTTTTTGTAGGTCCCAGCGGGAACGATGAAGAAGGAGTTGTTAGAACACTTGGACAAGGTGCCGACGTATGTGCAGCAGCTGCAGTTCACGGTGAAGGAGCCAACGGTAGGACGCGCCGCCACATTCAGCAAAGTCGACAACGTCATCCAGGAGACCAAGCACCTCATGAACGTCATCAGCAAAGTAGTCACCACCTGCTTCGATTGCGCAAACAAGGTAATCTATTTACTCTTCTGTTTCGATCGTTTCTATTTCTATCGAAAATTTAACCAACACATCGCACATTTTGAAAATCTAGCGAATTTTCTAGAAATATTAAAGATTTTAGTGCATTGGAACGTAATGTTCCTTAGGTACCTTTGCCGTGGGAGGCGAGTGTGGGAGTGATTAAAAGGCACCAGAGTGTTGCACCCGTTAAGTACTTTAAAAATTTTATTTCGTTCATGGCTGTTAGACTATCGGGATACGGGGGGACGAGTGTGGTTACATTACTGAAGGCTTATTCTTGATTTTATGTTCTTCACTAATGTTATTTCATTTAAACAAAATATATGAAACAAGAATAAACCTTTTAGCTATTTAGATATTAGTTTGACATAGCCATAGTACAATTGAATATTGGGAGTCCCTTTTAGTTATACTGTATGTTTTATTTAAAATTTGTTTCTGTTTTCCTACCGCTATGCACTGGGTGGTTCCCTCCACGCCAGGGTCTTATTCCGTTGGACAAAGCGATTAACAAATCCTCAACCAAAACAAGAGATAAATCGGTCTGTCTCATTGTCTCTTACATTTCATAACATAAAGCCCTATGTTTATGTAATTCTGTGTGTAGTTACGTCTCAGCATGTTTGTGTAATCCTGTAAAGTATATTTAAATATACATAGTAAATATTGTACTGTTGTGATTACGAGTATTATATTGATGTGTAATATATCAGCTAGATAGCTAGGCATCGAAAGTTGACTAAACAAATGCTCATGTTCAGCCCGCACGGCAGGCTACGCCGTTTGTTCTTGCTCTATTTCAATATATTTCTCAATGTTTTAAATATTTACGTATTTTGTTATTTTTTGTTTTCTCCTTTTATTTTTTAATTTCTTTCCTAATTTCAGTATTCCCTCTGTATGCCCGAGAGAGTACCCATGCATTGGAAACCAAACTTACAAAAAGCATCTACATTTAAAAGCGAAAATAGTGTATTAAATGGATGAAGTAGGTATACATATGTGTGGGTTAAAGTTTTCGATCACTAAACGACAATGTGGCAACACACACTCGTAATTCAGCCTAACATTACTTAACATCGTGGTTTCTTAAGTTTAGCGTAGAATTGTTATATGGTGTATTCTATAGCTAATATCTGGATGTTGTTTATTGTGTGTTGCGATGACCTTGTTATACTTATTTAGCTTAGATATGTGTGTCATTATAAAATAATTGTTGTTTATCCTAAAGTTTGCAACGCTGCTTACAAACTTTAGGATGCTCTTCCGCTGCGCTCTCATTCCATAAAGTAAAACTACTGCATAACTTTCTTTTATTGATGTTAAATAATGATGTTTAATTAATAATAAAAATATAAATGTGGCGAATAAATTTTTATGAAATTGGTTCGCGTGCATGGTGTTTGTTGTCTTTTGGATGGGTGCAGTAGCGATGGGTAGACGTGAATATTTGGTCGCGGTTTCGCCACAACTTTTACTTTAATCGAAAATCCTATATCTATAAACATTCACAATGTTACGCTTGATGCTTATAAATTTATTTTACAAATATACGATGGCTAGCACAGAGAATATCAGATTCGCAGACCGAATCTTGAATATGTGATACTTTGAACGCCTCACAAACCATTCTCATTTCAGTTCTTGGTCTATAAAAAATCGGTAGACGTAACCTGAAAGTATAAACATAGTAATGATCTAATTATTAAGAAAGTTGTGGTAAGACTGCGCCAAAAAAAGTAGTTGAAGCCTGAGATTATAAAGTGTTTTGTGTGCTGCAGTACAAACTCGACTTCACCGGTTTGTCCGCGGGCGGCGCGGGGTCAGGCGCGGGCGGACGGGCCCGAGACGAGGACACGGCGGGCGGAGGCGGCGGCGATGCGAAGCCCGGCGGGAGCTCCTCCGACACGGCTATGTGACAGTACGGCATGGGCCGGCGCGGCAAGGGCGACGCGCGCCGGACCAGGGTCAGCTTCCTCTTGTTCTAAAGGCTTTAACGTCTTGAACTCGTCGCCTCGGGTCGGACGGACAAACGCTGCGGGCTCGCTTACAACAATACAGTTGTCTATCACCCAATATTGGTACGTGTCTTCATTTTAAGATATTTGTAATCTTGCTAGTAAAGACTTTGATGTGATACATAGTCGCTAGAATTGCCAAAGCAAATAATAAAACTTTTTAAAATTGTACATAAATTTCATTAGAAGCGACTGTTAAATACCAAAAACGGTAAAAGCTAAACATCAATTATAGTATATAGTAAAAGTTTAAAGTTGTGATAACAATATGAAATACAGCAAATTGATCTAATGAACTCAAAAGTACATTTTATTGGCTTATAAAGAGAGATATTAGAGCCATTATAGGTTTACATTTTCCTAAAGTGATCTGTGGCGTTTGTCCTTTTCCGACCGTTTTGCTGTCAATCCATTGAACTGTTTGGAAATAAACTGTTTTGATGGGTTGCAGCAAACATTTAGTTGTATAACGATAATTAGTGCGATAGACAGATAAAGCTTCGGCAGACCACTTGCGACACACAAAAGCATATACGTAATGCTGACGCCAATTAAAATAAGGTACATGTTGATTTGATTTTTGTATAAACGAACATAAAAATACGATGAATTTTGATGTAATTTTGTTATACTGGTCTATTACGTCATTTTACGTATTTTCACATTCAATCTTTTGTACTTCTAGTGTAAGTAGCAATCATGTGAGACGTTAGGATACATCACAATGACATCGTAAAATGTGATCATAAATTAATGAGTGAAAACGTACAATAATCAATATTTATTACATTTTAATGTTACACATTGTTATATCAAATACGTAAACGACACAGAGGATACTATTTTTTTATGTTTCCCCCTTAGATAATATTTTAATTATCATAAACTTTATGTATAGTATGTATACTAACCCAAATGCTTTTATTAAATTTTATGTTTAAATCTGTCTTCTAAAACGCACACTTGCACCTTTGTGGTCCTGTCGCACTTTTTTTTGTTTTTTGCACGGCACGCTTCCTCAATTTGTTTGGCAGTATAATAGTTACTTGTACATGGCAACATACAACATTCTACTTCAATAACACTGCGTCACTATCATTCGATGTGTATCCGTGTTAGCCTTTTGTCTTATCCATTTCGTGTATATAGTGCGGTTATTGATATGAGACTCGCGTGGCGGACACTGCATGATTGTGAAACAAAAAAGATAGATGTGTGTTGCATGTGTGTATACGTTATGGATGTCGTACTTCATCTGTCCAAGGGGGAAGATGTTAAGCACTAAGATGAGGGAAAATTGACTCTGGTTGCTCCTAGCACCCACGTCGCCTGAGAAACTATGTGTTATATAGACCATTCGCCGCAGTAACGCAAAGGGCAGGGTAAAGACAGGCGTTGCACCCGCCTTGCATGCGCCCGTGTGATTTCCGCTGGCCTTGCGATCATACCGCTAGCATGCTCGAACAACGACTTGGCTATTGATGTTGGCAATAATTAACATATCACGTATTTGTTAGGTGTTAAATTGTTTATTGTATATCACGTTATTTAGTGTATAAAACATTGTAGGTTGAAAATAAACGTGCCTCGCTCTTAGTTTTATATTTGGAATATCGTTAAACAAGTGATCGTGGTAACATCAGTTACTTCATATTTAGATTTTTATATTGGCTTAAATATGTAACTAAGCAATAAAATTACTTTCTAGATACATTTCATCGAAATATGTTATATTAATGTTTTAAACTAGTTTAAAGGTGTTTAGAAATTATGTAATCACTTGTGTTTTTGATTTATGAAAGATTTAAATAGTGTTATTACAATTAGGCCTTATATTTAGGGCGTTAAGATGGCGTTAGTTAAATGCTTTTATCAAAGGATCAATTGAGTTCTATAAATTAAAACCAAAAAAGCTTATTTTTACTTGATATTTTGTTGGAAATTACTGCGTTCCAATCGTAACATTTTAGGTCTTAAATTGAAAAAGCTAGGATCACTAGATATGTGAAGAATTTAATCCCAATCTCCAAATGAAATAATTAATGCAAATGTCAATCTGTAGTTTGTCTGTCTGTAAGGTCTTTGACGCGTACATATTTGAAACGGATAAAGCATTTTCCAACAAAGTATCGTTTTAATAGCGATCTTGATGTTTATGTCTGCACGATTCGTGTTCGCAAAAATCCTGTCGATATCCTGCTCTACATAGAATCGGTCTGTATAACACGTGTTTCGGTTTTGCTTAAGTACTTTGTCAAAAGACCTATTGCGCACTTAACTTATGATAGTATAAAACCTAATCACATATGTATATTGTTTATTGCCTTCGTAATCGATTAAAGTATTTAGATATAAATAATTAAGATATTTCCGATTCTCGATCACTATTTATAATTAATGTAAAGAGCTTCATAAAGCTTTATAATGCGTGTTGTGAATCGAAATTATGGCCACGTAAGGTAGACACAAATATTAGTGTAATTTGTGCTTGGAGGTAAATAAACGATAAAGTTCATAGATAATAAATGTATCATAATGTTTAATGTTTTTACAGTAAATTATTCGATTTAAAATATTATTTCAAGGATGTTATCGTGTTCAAATTAGAACTATAAACAACAAACATGTCCAGCGATACAGCACTTATGGCCAATAATAAAAACAGAATGTTTAATATTAAAGTAAATAAAACGACATTATTATGGTTAATATCAATTTGTAATGAAGAGTAAATGATTTGCTTTTTTTTTATCGAACGGCCATAGTCAATACTTTCTTGATTGATGAAATTTAAAATTATGTTAATTATCCAACTGAAAATCCAAAAGTTCTTTTTCGTATAGTCTGTAAGTAAAAAATATGTAAGCGGGAATATTCACTAATACAATAGCTGTGCCATTGTGCCTCATAAAGTAGTTAAAGAATTATAGGACAATATGAAGTCCATTAAACTTATAGCCTGTTTAGATTTCCGCTACGGCAGAATGCGTTGTAATAGCATAGATGCAAGCGCATTTACACCATATTGTAACAATTAAGGATAGTAGCCGTTTCAGTTGACCGGGGTGACGTTTGGTGTAATGTAAAGTTGCATGTACACTCACTAACAAAAATAACAACATAAATTATGTACAGTCATCGCCAAATTTCAATTCGAACGTAATTAAAATGGGAAAAGGTACGGAAAACGTTAGCCTGGTTAACTAAATCTGCGAGTTTATATAGGTTTTTAGCGATACAGCGATTTGTGATATTACAAAATACTTAATGAGATTTAGTACAACTTTTATTTCAAGATATATAAAGGTAGTTAACTTTAGTGGAACACGAAAGAACACCAATAAAATAGTAACTATTAATTCTAATATTATATATAGTTCGTTATACTGTAGCAAGGTGTAGTTCGGGACAGGGTCCGAAATGAGTTGGATATAGTGCCATCCAAACTTTATGGCCGCTCGTAATATCGCAGATGTTCCGCACACGATAATTTTTGATAACATCAAGAAGGTGCGAGAGCGAGGTACAACCCTACGCACACTTTTCTCTGGACCAGGCACCTTTGACAGAAAAACGTTTGCACTTAACTCCGAGCCGCCATAAAGTTTGTAACACCAATATTATTTTTTTCCAGTTTGGATAAGCTTATTCAACGAAATACTTCCTATCGTTTGCACTAAATTATTAGTTGTCAATCATAAGGGAATCAAAAAATGGAACATAAATTATTTACTGATTTAAACATTACCAAGAAAGGATCCGGAGTTAGGCAACGAACCAAATATCTAGCTAGATTAAAACTAACACGTTGTTACTAAGGTGCAAACCTACGTAGTAAAATATGTATATTTTTATTGCTGTTATATTGAAATGTAAATGATGGTAACCCTGAAGGAATATAACCCCGATAAGTAAACATTGTAAATATTACGTTTTATAAAACGTTAGATTTAAGAAGCCTTAGTTATTTTTATGTTTTAATTCGATTTAATATTAGTCTTACTAATATTTAATATAATAAAATAGAATATATTGTCAAGAAACTGTTGTGATTGTTATAATATATATCCAAAGTTGCATTTTCATTAAAATAATTAGAAGTATATTTTCCATAGTGCTGCCAAAGTTTAATGATATAATTAGAATTAGTCATGTTGTTTACCTAACGAAATATTTTGAGGTTATTCGAGAATTTATGGATTGTATTTTGATGTGGTCGATGAGTGTAAATGTTTGAAGTAGGCGCCGGCACCGGATGCCCCCAGGCATTGAGGCAATTTGTGTGATTGTGTCCTGTACTTGTAAAGGATTTGTGGAATCACCAATTAAAAGAGATTCATATGAATATTAGTGTGTTTTACTTAAATTATATTTTTTATTTTATTTTATTTACTTAAATTATCTTTATCTTTCCATGTAGATTAAATAAAACAAAGGTTCCTATATATTACGTATTTATTTATATTTATTCAAAGGTACAATATATTACATCGTCCAAACTTCATTGCGCTCCAACATATCGTCATATCCTTTGTAATGACTAAGCAAATGAACTGTATGGTAAAACGGGTCAACACCCTACATAAAATACAAAATTAAGCATATCCCTTAATGTCTAAATTTCTAATGTAATAGCGGAAGTCAATACTGTAGTGTAGGAAATAATACGAATTCAACCATGGCATGTAGATTAAATAAAGATTATGCATTTCATAAATTACGTTTCATTGAGTAACATGTCAAATAGAAATTCGAGTAATCGAACGATTACAAGAAAATATTTACACATAAAATCTTAATAAAACATGTATACAATAAAGTATATAGTTATAAAACAAACATCCTTTAATATATATGTTATTTATGATAGAATATGATATCCGTCCTGCTAATATGTTCGACAAACTCTGCACTGAAGCAACAACGCTTGTTGCGAAGCTCCTCGCCCTCGGCCCCTTACGAATACAATGAAACGCTAACATCTAGCTAGAGCCTATCTCACAACTGACCTATGAGCATACATTAATATCACTAAGCACGATATATCTAGTACAAATCACCGATGTTGCCTTCACATTGATACTAACACAATCGATTCTTATACAATGCCAAATATCGATGTTAACCAACATCGAATAATCATCCCAATACCGAGTTATAACGGTTACCAATTTTGATAATCTCTTAGGCATTCATTTGCACCGATCAAGCGGAAAAAACCCGCACCTAAATAGTAAAAAAGTCGAAACCACATCAAAATTTAGAATTGTGTATTTCCTAAATGCGATATTATTCGAAAAACCTACAATGCAATAAATTCTATCATCATGAAATCGATATTTCAAACTCGTATGCATAAATCGCTAGCGTCAATTACTTTAACTATCTTATTGAAATTTCAAAAGTGCCTAATTATTATTTAACTTTGAGCTGAGCCGTAAACGATATTGGTGGCGTCTTGCTTTACGATCAAATTCCGTACCTTAAACGTTTGGCCACATCGGCCGCGAATATCTTTTCAAAAGATATACGATTTACTATCGCTCGTGTGTACTAACGAATACTAATACGCTCCGATGTGGCCGCGCCTTTAGTCGCTTAAAGCTGACCAATTACAAGCTACTTTGGCAACATTGTGGACGTTTGTCAAGTCAAAGATCGTGCGATTCTGCCTTTGAAGTTGTGTTGACCGATTGCTGCGCACACAAACCTTGCTAAAAATTACTTCTTGATGGAAATGTCATATAAAATTAGGCCAAACTTATTAAATAAATGCTTTGTCATGGAAAACGTCTTACATAATACAAAGTTTAAACGAACACTGCTGGATAAAAGGTACTTTTATGTCCGATGTGTCCGATAGTCTTTGTGGTCGTTGTTCGAGTACATTTGTGTATGAAGATTGTTTTAACTTGTGCAGATCACTACAACACTATTCCTGTTGCAACACTTTTAAAAGACCAATCTGAAAAAGAAATTCAATAATAATAAGCCCTCGATGCCCTGGATCACAAAGTCGAAGTCTCGAATCGAATTTTCTCCATTAATTTGTACAATCTTAGCAAATGCTTAACCCGAACTTTCATCGTACATATGAATAATAAATACATTTCCGAAAACTTAAGGTTTAATGGAATAATAAATAAATAATGGCCCACAAAATTTTGCAAAAAAAATACCAACTTACAACTACAAATTTAAGAACTCAGGTGAACTTTAAAAAATATATTTAAGACAACAGCAAATCCGGACCAAGATTACAATAGTTTGTGTAAACTACTATTTGGTCCAAATGACATAGAATAATTTCGAATGTCGTACAAAATTCATCGCTTGTAAAATACCAAATGTTTATCACTTCTTAAATAACTTAAACTAAAAGAATTAGCAAATACTATACTATATACAAAGTATAAAACAGATCCCTTTGATTAGTGAATGTTTTTCCCATTATAAGCACAATTTCAAAATTAAATGACATATAATTTAACGCCCGGACCATACACAGAGGGCCAGACTGCGCTCTGAGATTCTATCACGTCGTGACGTCATCACAGTTATATCGTGACGTCATTAGACTAATATATTCCTGACGTATCATACTGTGACATTATTACGACGTGACGTCATCTGATAGCAAGGGGGGGCTCGTACTACTAGGATTTAAAATGGTTAACCATGTTTTAGTAAATATTGTATCATTGTCAATTTTCAACACGAGAGAATTCCCGACAAGTCAATATTCAAATATGTATTCCTTGCTATTAAGCGAATAAAAATGTAGTCGACATTTAGCTCCCTTTATCTTCCCTCCCTCGTTGTATATAGTCCGTGCGTCTAGTATTGTACATAGAGTTTACATACTTAGCGAGTAAAACAGTTAACGAGATACAACAATCGTCACTATTCAGACAATGGCACTATGTTCAAGAATTTTAGTTAATAGATAACAATCAAATCTCTTAAAATCTCATTGAGCTAACGCGGAAATATTAAAGTTTTAAAAAGGTACATTTTATACACGAGTTAGTGGGAAGCGATTTGTGAGTCGAGGGACAACACGATTTAATACAAAATGACACTCGGCGCTGTGAATGACGTCATGTGACGTCTGACGTCACGTGTCTATACAAGTTGAAGACACACATTGAATGAAGAATAAGATTCTTACACATAGATAGGCCTTTGTATAATACTCAACACTCATCAACTAGAAATTACAAATTAAAAGAAACTATGTGAAAATAAAGAAAAGAAACATATTTTTGTTCTCATATGGTGAAGAAGTTGGTTTATTTTGTTAATTTATGTGCTATTTTACTAATTAGTAAACACCTATCTATGTATTAAAATCTTTGGTAAGTGGTAAAAAATAATTTTGTTACCATATTACAACACCGGCACCTTGTACAATAACCGATGCCAAAGAAGTACGTAAGTTAAACAGTGATTAGGAGAAAATATTAAAAGTATCCATTGTAAATAGTCGTGTCGTGTCGTGTCGTGTGGCACAATGGCGACAGGTTAGTCACACGTGTGTTACGTACGGTGGGTGCGAGGCCGACGCCATAAGTCGGAGGCCTAGAACAAACCTTTCTTTTTTTTATCCTTCTTATCCTTTCCATCTACGGTCCTGGAATAAAGAAAAACGGTAAATAAATAAAACAAATTTATTCACAGAAAATTGGCAACAGAATAGAGTTAAAAGATTTTTCTAAATAATCGTAAATTGGTGACGTTTTTAAGGTAAGATCGCATTAATTTCTTTAAAAAAAAAAAACTCTTTTTGTATAAAGAGGGGGAGAAGAGATTGTTTGCCAAGGTTTTTACCGATTGGAACCCATAAACACATTTTACGTTATTGACAAGTGGGAAATGACTATCCAATATTTGATTAACTAGTACTAACTGGGCTACCAAAATTTAAAGACAAAGCGAGTTGTATGGTAACCGTAAGAAGAAAGACATCGTGAGAAAGAGCAAGATCGTATAAGAGCGAGACAGTGTAAGAGAGTGAGCGAGAGAGAGGGGGTGGGGGGTGAAGTGTAGGTGACTGACTCCTTGCTGTTGGCCTCGAGCGAGCGGCGGCGCAGGTCGTCGAGCGAGAGGCCGGTGTCGCGCTCCCAGGCGGCGCGCTCGGCGTGCAGCGCGCGCTGGCGCTCCTCCAGCTCGTGCGCCTGCGCCTCCAGCGCGCGCCGCGTCGCCTCGTGCCGCCGCGCCAGCTCCGCCTCCGACTCCTTCAGCTTGGCGCGCTTCTCGCGCACCTTCATCTCGAACACCTAACACACCACACATATTGTTTCAGACATTTATACTACAAAGGTCAAATGAAGGTGACACATTAAACAGATTAAAAAAATAGAGTAGACATAGTTAACACTTCTCTTGAAACATTTTCATATAATCTCACTAATCTATTGATCTTCAACCACATGTCAATGTTATTATTTATATTTAAATTCATTGCCCAATAAGTGTGATTAACACTTTTTATAAACAAAAGATGAATCTTATAATTTTGTAAAATATTTTATTACATGTCAATACAAGGACTAAAACTAAACTTGACAACTGTTTTAGTACCTTTCAGAGAAACTACCGGTAAAAAAATGTTCACTTTGCTTATACCTAACGTAATGTAAATTTACCTGTTCCATTTCGCTTTCCATTGTCTTCATTTTAAGATCGTGCTCTCGTTTTTCCTCTTCCATTTGAGCTAACGGATTCCTGAGAACGAGAACAATCACATTATTTAATTAAGTATTTACTTCAATTTTTAAAACGTTACATGCAACGCAAACTTGATTGACAAATTTTATACAAAAACTTAAATTTTCTACAAATAATTAATACTTTTGACTATGAAATCAGTTGAACATAAAATATGTATTTAAATTTTCACAATAACATATTTACTCACACAGTTGTGTTTTTACTGTATAGGTCAAAGAAATCATGAAAAATACAAGAATAGTTGTGAATTTTAAAACTATATTTAGCACCAAATTATACTAATACAAATATTGAGAAAATGTTTTTTATACTCTACTATTCTTATCGTTTCGTACTAAATGCAAATATGACTGACACAAGATATATTTACATTTTTATTTTTGTAATGGTAGTAGTAATAACATGCCTATAGTACATAAATGTAAGGGAAATTACCATCCTTGTGTTGCTAAATTTGTTATTGACTGCCAAATAATTACCATTAGTACTTTACAAAACCATTTCGTGTTTTATTGACCTCCGTAAAGTAAATAAAAAATAGTGAACGAAGTTTTCAATATTTTTGTGCAATTCTTGACGTCGAGTCAAAAATGTTGAGGACCACTGTTTCTTAATAAACATACATAACAAAGTGAACATGCGTCACGCTACTTGCTACAGAGATATTATTATTGCATGCGAAATAAAAGTGCGTAAATAAAAAAAATGTGAATACCAAACATGCAACATATACGCTAACATGAAAAGCATTTGCTTCAGATAAGTAGAACAAAAAATTGAAAATCGATCCAATTAAAAAGTCACATATCTCACAGATAACTCGAGATATGTAACTTTTGTAGATATGTCGATATGTTGACCACCCCGTGCTGTCGAAAAAGTGTGTAATGAATGTAATAAACACACACAGACACACGCAGAGTTGTGTGCGGGGATGAGACTTACCAAACGGTCATGAAACTGTTCATCAGTCCTTGCGGGCACAAACTGAACACCAACACAACCATTGTTAACGTACAACACGTGGATGCGCGAACGCAACGCGCGACAGCGGCATCAAAACCACATACGTATTACTAACATTTATTCAGATAATATTTATAAATAACTATAGTTATTAGGGTCGATTTTATGATATATTGATGCAATCAAAGGGTGTTTTTATTTAATACTATGCTACTCTCTATGGTGCAAACTAATTTATGACATAAAATATTATTTTATTCATTAATCAAATTAATAATAATTTTACAATTTCCGTTAAGCTGAGTAATTTAATATATTTTTAGCGAAATCAATAATTTTAATAACTGTTTCCATATAACAGAAATCTTAATCCAGTTACTGTAATTAAAGAGAATAAGGGAAAAAAAAATCAATCCAACATTTCAGTTTTTTAACTAGGTTTACTAAATTGTTCCTTATTAAGCAAGCAACAATAAGGTACACCTAGTTAAAAAAAGGACTGAAGGATATTTGCTTTTATACCCTTCAATTATAGGCATGTATCAAATTATTTATTCAGTTCGCGAGCGTTCGGAGCGTCGTATTTCATATGTCGGCGCCAACATCGCGTGTCTATATCGGATATGAAAGCGACGTGAATTACACAGGTCGAATGAATTGTCATACAAATATATGCAGACATTTATGGAAACTTCGGTTAAGATGTTCAAACTCAACAGTGTGGAGTATTTTAAAAAATATAGCGCTATGCTACACATTTTATTCTTTTAGCATAGTAGTCATATTTCTGTATGAAATCTACACATCGAAAACAGCTTAGTAACCTATACTTTGATTAGTCAATTCTCAAAATATTAAATAGATTTTGATGCCACTCTAAGCGCTTGTTATGGTTAATGACACTTTATCATGGATGTTTAAAATAAAACCGGCAAATTTTAAAGTTCCATGATAAACAAACGATATGCAGTAAGATCATTTCTGCATGCCCAAGCATAACATTCAAATATTAAAGAATGTTGCAACTATAGACGTGTAACTAAAAGTATAGAAATGTTAAAAAAATCTGGTAGCTCACAAATGCGACAGTAAATTAATGAAAATATTGACCGCGTCAAAGGTGACCAGACATGCAGCAATGAAATTACTACGCGTGCACAATAACATAAGACTCTCATCAAATGAAACTCATTATATTTTAATTTAACACAAATAAACATCAGTATCGTGACGTTATCGTTTGAAGGTGTTATGTTACTGTGCACTTATAGCATTTAACACTTGAGTTATGAAATTTTAGACACACATTTGATTTTAACAATGATATTAACGTAACAAGTCTGGCCACCTTAAAAGCGGTGACAGCAGTACGTAAGGTTTAATTTGATAGTTAACTTACCAACCTTGTCAGTTGAGGTTGTTACACATGCCTTTTATAATTATTTAATTGAAAATCTAGTTATCGAAATGTTAGAAATAATTTAACTATAGTTAGTTCACTTTAGCATGACGTTAAAAATGTTCACCAAATATCTGATTCATATAGTTTTATTTATAATTTGACTTTTAGAAATTCAATTAGACGGCTAACCCTTTTCTTGTTAGGGTATCTGTAGAGATACATCAATTTTTTTTAAACACCTTGGGTCATCAAGGTTAATTGCTATGAATATTATTTTGATATTCGAAAAAATAAAATTCTACCAAGTTAAGGGCTAAACTATAAATATTCAATACTCACAACCAAAAGAAAACACAGACATAAATAATTACGTAAATTTTTGCACATCATTGTTAATTGAAGTTAACACAACACATAAAAATTAAAAGTGCTAAAAAGGTTACACCGCTAAATGTTTAAAATTATCACTTTTTGTTAAGTAAAGGGATTTTACTCGTAGATTACATTTTGTTTGTATGTTTAATTTGTTCATCCAATCATGCTAAAATAAACAAACCATTACTTCGTAACTTTAGGCACAATTTTAGTATTACAGAAGTCAAGGGACACACAGATATAGTGCTATCCAAACTTTATAGCGGCTCGCATCGACATCGCAGAACCCAATTGGTGTGTATCAAGTGCGAGCCGGGGTAAAGTGTGAACATTATAATATATCTCACTTGTTGGAGTTGATCCTGTGCGGCTTGCCGTCGTGCGAGAGGCCGGCCAGCTTGCGGCAGCGGTAGTTCTCGTAGTGCACGGAGCTCGTCACATCCTTCAGGTCCTGGAGGTGAGTCCTGATCACCATGTTGCGAAGCGCTAGGAAATCGCAGTGCTCCAGATTCTCCACTGAAAATGTTATATTAATCTTACTAACATTCGAAAATTTGGATGGATGGTTGTTTGTTTGTAGCCTAAACTACTGAACGGGTCTCGATTAAATTTGGCATAGATGTTATTACTTTGTTACTCGATTAAATTCTACACGGACGGCATCGCGGGAAAAAACTAGTATAACATAAAATATCGCCTTCAGCCACTTAAATAAAAGTTAATTCAAATCTGGTGTAAAATGTAATGCGTGTAATACTACAATGTGTTTTTTTATATAAAAATAGCTACAAAATGCATATTAACAATAGATACAATCATATTCCTTTGTTCACATCCAAGTCATGTGTACAGCACAATGACTAGATTGTGGTTTTGCTATTATCGTGCCTATTGTTAACAACACTTGTTATTAAACAAACAATGTTTGCGTAGATATACAATAGCTGGTCTGTACCAATCGATTTTGCCGCACTTACTTTACCCATAGTAGAGTTTTCAATATAAACACCTTTTTAATAAATTTTTAAAGCCAAATAATGCCAATTTCATATTTTAAAAATTATCTTAGACAACAATTCCTTTGTTTCTTAAAAGAGTAATAATCTTACTAATATTATAAATGCGAAAGTTTAGATAGATAGATGGAAGTTTGTTAGAATTTATAGCCTAAACTGCTGAACGGATCTTGATGAATTTAGCCATAGATGTAGAGGATAGTTTGGAAGAACACATAGGCTGCTTGTTATTTTTTTTTAATTCCACGGGAACGGAGTCGCGGGCGAAAGCTAGTACTTAAATATTCGAAAGTATTTTTTAATTAAAATAAATATGATAATTATTAAAACAGATAACAACTGCCACTCTTTAATATACTAAACGTAAGTTAGACGTGGGTGTACCTTCAGCGATGCCCCAGGGGTACTTGCGGCCGCGAATGCGCCTTCCCTCGGCCTCGATGACGGTGTTAGCGCCCACGACGGCGAAGGGCACGCGCGCCTTCAGCGAGCGCGTCGCCTCCGCGCCCTCGCCCTCCTCCCCCGCGCCGCCCGCCACGCTCGCCCCGCCCGCCCCGCCCCCGCACTCCGGGAACTCGTAGATCTTGATCTTGTGTTGCGCGATCTCCTTCATTATCTGTCCAAATTCACAATATTGCAAATTTTTTTATTTTATTTACTGCTAACAGACTGTTATGCCACACAAAAATGGTCGTAGTCTATACATATATATCTATACTAATATAATAAAGCGTACACACAATAATTTGTGACGTAGGACGTCAACAATCACAGCATATTTTTGATACAATAAGAAAGCCCTATACTTTCGACACGCTTTAGGATATATGTTTTCACGCTATTAAACTAGGGATAAATAAATTAGAAAAAAACGTTCATGTGAGAAAAGCACCATACATTACAAGATGACAACTTAAAGGAAGCAAGGCTACCATGGTAACGGTAATCATTCTCCATTTAAAGTCAAAGGCCTTCTTTGTTATTTGTGCATTCGAATTTTGACATTTGCAATTAAAAATTTCACAAATGTAAACAATTAAAAAAAAGTTTATAATTTCATGCTGATAAAGTCGCAAGCTGCTATATGTGTGTATCAGATTGAAGATGTATCTACAATACTGACCTGTTCCTTAAAGTCCTTGCACTCCTCCGGGGTCATGGTGTCCGCTTTAGCGATGACCGGTATGATGTTGACCTTGTCGCCGAGCCGCTGCATGAACTCGACGTCGAGCGGCTTGAGGCCGTGTCCGCTGGGCGCGATGAAGTACAGGCAGCAGTGCACGCGCGTGTCGGGCGGCGCCGCCTTGCGCGTCACGCGCGACTCCGCGTTCAAAAACTCCTCGTATTTTGATTCCACGAAGTCGATTATCGGTTGCCAACTAGAAATTAGAATTTAATAAGAATAAATATTTAATTATACGATTATGGTGTAAGAACATTTGAAAGTTGTAAACTCTTCTAAAACCTGATCTTTAATCAAATTTTACAACGAAATACAAAAAACCAAGTTTTAAATACAAAAAGACTTAAAACATGAAGAAACAAGTATAGTAACAGTGAAATTGTCAGTGTATTACGGAAAAAGTGAGTTGAATATGTTTTGAATTTTAAATTCATATGACAAAGTTAAAGAACATAATGTTGAACACGCGTAACCATGACCTTGATTAGAAGCAGCTTAATTAGCGCAATTATAATGTGGAAATGTGGAACATATGAAATTTTATTTACACACTACGTGAACATTTATATTAACGTGAATAATCACTGGCAGGCGTACCATACAATAAGCCTGCCATACTTATTTTAGTACGAAGAATGTACTTGTACTTAAACGTCATTTAGAAATGTAAATGGGCGCGAAAATTGGGAGAAAAATAGTAAAATGTAAGGTTTTAAATTTGGAATAACAATATCCTAAATAGCAAACATTATAGACGAGAGAGAGAAGAGGCATAATATAATATAAGTACGATAATATTAACTAAGTACGATTTTTAATAAACACTTTCTCTTTAATTTTGCGAATGTGCAGAAAGTATATGCGTAAAAGATTCTGTATGTTCCTGTTAAACTTGTTTATTAAAACCGGATTTAATTTAATTTCATATACGAGATTGCAATATTTAATGTGTTACTATCTATGTTTTAAATTTCTAAGGCTCATACACATTCTGTCTTATGTTCTTGGTAAAACTTTAAAGAATTAGGTATAGTGTAGTGTATAAACATTATTAAAACTGACCAATTGCTGTTGTCGACAGCATCACCGAATCCAGGTGTATCGACGATCGTTAGTGTTAAATTGACTCCGTTTTCTTTAAGTAAAACGACGCTCGTCTCCACTCCCACTGTCTTCTTGACCCGCAACGACGGCCCTGGATGTTTGTCTCTGTCGTACACCTCGGTCAGAAACAACGAGTTTATTAACGTCGATTTGCCGAGGCCTGTTTCACCTGAAAATTATAACAAATAAATATTACTGACAAGGTTAAAGGTTAGTGGTCGTTGTAATACAAATGCAGAGGTAGACATCTTTATTTTTTTTAATACCAATCAGGTATTTGTACTTACCAACAACCATAAGTGTGAACTCAAACCCTTTTTTCACAGCCTTCCTGTACACCTGGTTGGGGAGATTCGCGAAGCCCACGTAACCATCTAGTTCTTTGGTCTTTGGTTTCTCTATCTTAGGTAATTCCGGTTTTGGAGCAACTGGAGGATGCTCGGGTTTCTGAAATCAAAAAGAAGAATTATATCGTAACAGTAGAATAATGGGAAAATCGGAAAACATTTTTAAGTAATTTTACTTTGTTCAAGATTGAATTTTACTGAAAGCAATGTCAAAATATTTACTTCAACGTCTTAACTAATGATCATTTACGTTATGCTGGTCGCCAATTAAAGCAATTGATGTTTGTTTAAACTGCATTCATACGCATCAGACGTTGCGTTTCGTTAAGAAAGGGCAATAATGACAAATAATCATTTGCTATGACTTACTCACTATTATCATTAAATATCATGTGCTTACAGCGTGCCAGGCAGTCAGTCTAATAAAGTACATAATGGTTTCAAATAAGGATCTTGAATACTTTGATATCCAACGAAATTTTGAAACGACCAACTAGTATGTTTCAATTTGAATGTATGTTGTTATGATGTCGACCATGTCTTTAATGCTATGCGACAAAATGAATGTAAAAAACAAAACTACGGTTGATTAGTATATGACAAATTATATACCTTAATATTGTCTATATTCCTAAGAGATGATGGCGGCGCTGTAGTGGGTGGCGGGGGAGCGGGCATCTGCGGCGGCGCAGCCTTGCCGGTATCCAGCGTGCTGTTGATCTTGATCCCATTAGGCTCATGGTGGTTGTTTTCGAGGGCGTCGGGCAAAGTCGCGGACCTCTTGGCCAGCGCATCCTTGAGCGCGGAGGGTGCGACGGGAGGTGCGGGGGGCGCACCGCTCGGAAGGCCCGCGCTGCCGCTCACTGACTCCGACTTGAAGAACAGCTCACGTTTACTTTGTAACTGTAAACAATAATAATTTTATTAGTGTCCAGTTTCACTGACAGTTTAAAAAATAAATGTTGTTTTGTTAAGACCATTGGTAACCGAGCTGCAAAGGTTAATATCGTACTTAATTATAGGTTGGATAATGGAGTACAATCGCCGAGAGAAGCCGTAAATCGTACAAAGAATTGTGTAGCGGCGAGAGGCAAGAGCGACTAGTTAATGTAGTAGGTAGGTGGCGCTTGTCCGCAGTCCGCGCCGTGGTCGGTCTAGTCGGCTCCGAGCCGTCGGCGGCTGACTCATCGACACCAAGGCGACCGTGTAATACTATACATATCTGTGTCAACATTCGAGAGGTTTTAATGATTAAGCTACTCAAAGTGTGAATACTTTGTAAGTACGTAATTACCTTAAAACATTAATACGTTTCAACTTTTCGCAATAACTGTATTTTATAGATTTTTCACACGATAAATCAATAACAAATTATAGCAATTGTAGTAACGCCCGTTAAAGGTATTGCAAATCGAATGTTGCTGTAATTGTGTAGCACGTAAAAGCGAAAGCGCCTTATAATCGCTCTCGCGTATAGCTACTTGATAATAGGAGCAAGAATCGCGAAAGCGGTGATTCACGCGGAACCCGTAATTGTACACGTGAATCATATTCGATGTTCATGTCTGCTAGAGAGATGCAGCTTAAGATTAGCTATCGATGTTTTCAAACGATCGGCGTATAAACGTACATGAATGTATGTAAAGGTATAAATCATTTGTAAGTTTTAGAATTCCTATTGCACAACTCTTGATGAGGATTTGTATCTATACCTATGTGTCCGAACATTTTCGCAGTCCAATGCAGTCGTATCAAATGTTGGCATCCGAATTGATACTTTGGATACTTCTTTCATTAAAGTAGATTTAGTAAACTGAATTCGTATATACCTTTGACAACACTATAAATTGTTTACGATTAACGTAAATCGCTGGACGTCCACTCTTATTTTAAAACGGGTTCGTCAAGATTAATGCGTGGAACTTTTGTGTTCTAGAAACCACGATTATCGATCTTCAGTAATCGATATAAATCGATGTCGATATCCATGCGTATGCAATATCGATTTCCCACAGCTAGCTCAAGCCGTGGGTTCCAGGCGCTGTGTACTCATCGACATAAACATTGCTCACGAGCAGATGGTAATTAAACGGTTTTGAAGTAGGCGCATTCACTGGGGGTATTCGAGCGGCTCATTTGTGGAGCCAACGGACGTGCATTGACGGCCTGAATAATATTTACACAAGGAATTTCTCTTTGTTCATTCACATGTCAACAAAGTTATAAAAGCTCGAACTGATGTATTTGAAATACAAGCAAATTAACAAAGTTCAATTTGAAAGTGATAAAGCATATTGTCGGTTCCTGTTCGAAGCACATAGCCTGATCTCTTTTACCTTTTTGACTCTAGTAAGCTCAGTGCGAAGCATTATTTGTTCGAATGAATGTATTGGATTCTATCTCGCTTCGCCAACATAAAAACATCCTTGTACATCGTTCACATACAACGCACGTTCTAGAATGACGCGACTGCAGAAATAACATAAACTTGTGCAGTTTAGATAAGTACGACGACCGTACGAGATCGCGGCGCTCCAGTCTAATTATATCTTAGAGAAATCATCCAATACAATGACATCATGTCACACAGTAATTACTGTCTTTGTTGAAGCTGTCAATAATATTTGTTTATGGCATTAGAATAATTGTATGATGTTTAAAGTATCACCGGGAATAAACTTTGACAAAAACTACAATTAGGGAATATGATCTAAAATAATCAAAGTGATTCCAAGTTATTCATCAACTATGATATGATTAAAATCATCATCATCATCATCTCCCCTGCCTTATCCTACTCCCGTAGGCTCGGCGCACCGGGTTTTCGTCCTCCAAAGCACTCTATTATCCTATATCTATGACGTGATTAAATTATGAATGCAATTTTCCATCATTTAGAAAATAAGAGCAAATCACACTCAAATGTTTTTAAGAATGGTTCACAGTGCACAATTAAAATAAAAACAACCGTGGTTTCGAATACATGACTGATTTACTAAACGCTACATAACAAAATAAATTATTTCTAAATGTACCCGAACATGTTAATTTAATTAAAATTACTGTAACTGTGCACAAGTACAGCATGCTATGAGTAACGACATCGTAAAGAATGACACATTAACGGTCAGTTACTCATCAATGCAAACAGCAACATCTTGGCCGAACTAAAATTACCATTTCTTTTTTGATGAGCCAAGTGAAGTAAGTATAAGAGGGTTCACTCATGTGACAGCTATAGAAGCGCAGTAAACGCAGCATAGATTCGCGACGCAGCTGGCATAAGCCACACTTCATGTTCCTAATGCTCTTGCGCAAACACCTATTTAACCTCGAGCTACTACTAGTGAAAACTACGACGGCCAGACTCCTGCATGAGAATTATCTTCACTCTGATCACTTTAGTCATCTGGATCTCTTTCATCCGGTGTTTACCATAGCACGCGCATTGTACCAACGTAAACAAATGCGACACGATCACGATATCGTTAAGGAATTTGTTTGTTTTCATATTATAAAAGTTGAATTTTATTTGTTTACATGTACGTTTATTTAACGAAATTCAAGCAGAAGATCTCACGTCAACAATTAATTTATACAAACATCTTCATGAATAAACATCATAAACTTACCGTAGTATCTGTCTCAACTTTTTTCTTCTCACGTCTTTTAGTACTAAACCTTTTTTTAATGAGTTGTAACATTTTAACACTATTCACGATGAAAACATTTTATTTCTGTCACTCGACTGCGAATTGAGGTAAACTGCGATCAGTCATTTCGACGTTCAGGAGGAAACTGAGCGAAATCGTCATTGTAACCTTCACGGTAATTGTTTACTATAATACAGCAGTCATAGTTTTGTCGAATTTATGTATTTTACATTATTAGTACGGAGTGCGGACAGTAAACGCGCACCCGACCACACTCGACATGTGACTAACGCATCTATTCTCTTAGGTAACACACGATAAGCCCTCGCCAATGGCACGACGCTTACCTCTTTAATCGCGTTTAACAACACACCACGGTTTAAAAGGTTTACTGTTACTATCTTATCGCAAAACAGTCTTTATCAATATGATTTAACGTTAAAGAGTTTGGAGTAAGACTATAAAGGGGTACAAATTGGCAAGGAAGTAGCACAAATTATGACTAAGTGCAATTAGCTACAAATATAAGTTGATGATTGTAATATACTAAAGAATGCCTTCATTAACAAATTTGGGTCTTCTTATCTTCGTAACCGTCACATTTATTGATACCAGTAGGTTGCTAAAAATCAATACGGTTTACAGCAAGCACATTAAACTATTCAATGAGACAAACAGTGCGTTGTCCAATTGTAACGAAAATTGTAATTAAGAGGTTTTAATATCCGGATGGCCACTCCCTGAAGATCAATAGCGTTTACACGTTTGATTGGATACGTTAGAATGACCCGAACCGAGTTATTGCGGTGGATGATCACCGAGGTGGAACTCTGTCGACTAAATGAATCGTTACTAGTCTACAAAGTAATATTTACGCAACTTTTTTACATACAATTTTAATTATTACGACAAATCCTCGACTACTATTTATTAATTGAAAATCTTTCTTAATAAATCTTAATAAAATATGGAGAAATTAATAATGCGAGCTTATTTATGTCGACCACAATATTTATGTTTCAAAAGAACTGCACATTGTTCTGAGCCCTTTTGTGTGTTGAGGGGTTTGTGCGTATGTCCCGGCCTAATTTATGAAGGCTTACTTGTACGGGCCGCATTGTATGCAGGCGTGACATATTCCTTTTTGCGTTGATGGCACGCGAAGTTGTTATTGTATGCCGGTTTAAAAGTGAATCACATTGTGACAATTAAAAATGTTTATACGATCATTTCACTGCCGGTTTACGTACACTGTAACTACAGTATGGATATTTGTACGATTAATAACGATTTGGTTGCGATTGTGCTGTGAATGCACTAAGTATACGAGTAAGGTGACTTAAAAGGAACAACAACCCCAGAACCAATTTTAGATTTGTGCCAGAAACACCTTTTTGCTCAACAATAATTATATCTACATATGTATATATAATTTAGTACCTTCCTCCGGGATATAATAGTTTATAATGTTAAAACCGAAGCGAAGCGAAGAGAAGCGAGAAATATTTATGGGAATTAAGTAACATGACTGAAATATTTGTAGTACTTAGTTAATAGGATAGCAATATTTATATAGGTTGTTACACAACGCAGTTGTTATGATGACTATAAACAAAGGATGTGAATAATTTTACCTCGGCCGACGCATCCTCTAATAAAGGTGCATACCGTGATAGATTATATAACTTTATTACCTTTTCCACCCGCAGTTCCGCTTACATAGTGCATCTTGTTGACACAAGGTACAGTATATGCAAAAAATATGAAACCTTAGCTATTATAAACTGAAACCTATTTATATAAATAAACAGTCCATGAATTGAATCGAGGAAACATAATCGAAATCGAAACAACAATTGATTTTCTGCAATATTTATTTTTTTATTAACAAACTTAACTGGTCATACTCGGTTATACTGTTTATGTTCTTAATTCCAAGTATAAACATAGATTATGACAATGATATTTTAGTAAAACATTGCTGCAACGTTAGTATCACCGCAAAACCAAGTCTTTCGTATCATATGTCAGTCGGATCTTTTGAAATACATGCAACTATAGCAACATATTATAAGTTGAAAATTATAGTATTGTAAGTTATTCAGCGTAAAAACGACAAAATGGGAAATTATACATCAAAACGAATAGCTATTAATATTACAAGAGGTTACAATTGAACACAGTTATGTAGTTCGTAAAAAGACGTAGTAACAAGTAGTACGTCTTTTTTTATTGGTAAAGCTAATTGGA